GGGGTAGGTGCTCCCTTGGGGAGGGGAGCCGGGCAGTCCTGGTGATGTGAGGGTAGAGACTAAGAACCTGGCCTGAACTTTTCAGAAACTGGGTGAGGAAAGCCCCACTCTTCACGCTGACAAGCCACAGTAGGTGCTCTTAGAAAGGAGATCAAACCTGGGCTTGGTGGCACATTCGCCTGCCTAGTGGAGGTTGAAGGATTTCTAGCTAAGTCACAACAGAGCAACAGAGAGAGTTTGAGGACAGAGAGTTTGAGGCTGGACTACAGGCTGGTTTTGTTTTGTCTTTTACAAAGCGCCAAATTAGCCAGTCTTGGTGGTACAGTCCTTGAACCCCGTGCTTGGGAAGCAGAGAGAGGCAGATCTCTTTAAGTTCCAGACCATCCAGGGCCCCACGGCGAGACCCTAACTTAAAAAAAAAAAAAAAAAAGCCCAAATCAGCTGCAAACCGAACCAGTCCTCACTCTGCCAAAATCAAAGGAATTTAGGGCCGGCCTCGTTAGCAAGCTGAGCTGCGAAGGGGGAGGGCAAAGATGTCAGTACTTCTCCAAGAGTCACCACAAGAGTTGTTAGAAATGCAAATGCAGGGTTGGAAACAGGGGAGATGTCGGTCAAACGCTAGAAAGGAATTTAATTAGAATAAGTCAATTTAAGTTATCTTTAGTTCAGTATGGAGACCACAATTAATAACAAAGTTTTTGGTTCTGTCAGTGTAGGAGATAAAACCCAGCCTGTGGGTCAAACTCAGGGCCATGGGCATGCAGGGAAGCGCTCTACCACTAGGCTATATCCCTAGTCCCAATAACAAAATGGCTAAGAGTAGATTTGAGATGTTCTTACTATCAACAGTACATATGTTGATTGGCATAAGTGATTGCACAATGCATACATATCTCAAAGTATCATACTTGGTACAATAATATACAAATTTTATTTTATTTTTTTTAATTAAAAATTAATTACTTTGGTTAATTTTAAAGAGAAATGCATGGCCAGTCTCCAGAATCTATGACTCCAGGGGAGGGTGCTGGGCATCTCTTTTAATTGGTCCTAATGGTCCAGAGTTTGGGGACACTGATGTAAAGAAGTGGAACCCCTGATCTATCAGGACTGGACTCTTCATAGATACTTTAATGACACATCTCTTTGTTCACACAGAAATGGAATTTGTGGGTTGAACTCAGCTGAGTACGTGGGGCTGGAGGGGCTCAGATAAAGGATATCCAAACCAGGCTTTGCCCATCTTTGGCTTTCAGCAGAACAGCCAGTCCCCGCTTCTCTAGCCCCTCGGTACCTGTAAGGCAATGCTATTGTCGAGAAGGCCGTACAGGATTTATAGGGGGCGATCATAGCTTTCCTGCTCTTCCTAAACCAGCTTCCCAACTGCGAGGGAGGCAGCTGTGTGCTCCTCTTCCACCCTCTCCCCCTTTGTAGCTAAACCACTATCACTCTCAATTTCAAGGTGGCGACACCTCAGAGTCTGACATCCTCTGGGCTGATGGGGAAGATGGCGTATCCTTCATACACCCCAGCAGTGAGCTCTATCTGCAGCCTTTGGCAGGTATTTGCCCCAGCCTCCTACCTCTCAGCCTGGCCAGCCATCCCCTCGATCCCTGGACCCACAACCATAGGTGCCATCTGCGCTGAGCTGAGATACCCAGTTCTTAAATGGCGCAGGAACATTTGGGAACATCTGTGAGCTGTGGCGTTAGTACAGGTATCGTCGACTGCTAGTCAAGTATCCTTGCTGTGAATTCTCCCCACACACCTCAGGGCTCAAGGAAGTGTAATGTACAGGCTTGACTGAGGTCCCCTAGGCTGGGCCACCAAGATGGCTCAGCAGGTAAAACCTCTTCAGCCTGGTAATCTGAGTTTGTTGCTCCAAATCCACGGTGGAAGGAGAAAACTGAACTCTGACTTTCGTAAGCGTGTGCATGCCTGCCTATCTCTGCCTCTGAATAAAATCAATGGAAGAAAAAAGTCCCCAGGCTCTGTCCTCACCCTGCGTGTTGTGTGGGTGTGGTTGGTACTGCTACTACCCTAAACTCCTACGCTAGAATTAAGCCAGTGTCTGGAAAGTCCGCACAGGCCCATGCTTATCCCTAGCTCCCACCCCCCATATCTCACCTTTCGCTCACAGTCACAGAGGGCCATGGGGAGGTGGAAATCCGAAAGCACCCCAACTGCAGTCATTGCACTTCCAAAGACTGCCAGTGGCAGGCAGAGCTCCAGATGACTGAATGCATATGCCCAGAGGGCATGGAACTGGCTGCGGATAATGTCACTTGCATGGGTATGTCTTGTCTTTGCCCTCAGTCTGACTGCTGGGTCACACACAGGCTGGTGGAGCAGAAGGGCACTGGAAAAGACAGTGTAAAGGCCAGTTGTGTGCCAGGCACTCTATGGAGTTCCAGGTAGAGGATTGGAAACGCATCAGGGCACACTCCACTGTCAAGAACATGTAGGCCAGTGTGGGAGGCAAGATGGATATTTAGATATAGATCTGTGTCTAAAAATGGCAGTTGCTATGGAAGGTATCAAATAGTTAAGAGATTCTGAGGAGGGAGAGTTGCTTTTGTCTAGGTGGGTGGCATCATGGAAAAGTAAACACTGAGCTGAGTCTTGAAGCAGGGGTAAGATTTAAGGGTATCCAGATCAGGTCGCACACATCTGTAATCCCAGCAGTGGGTAGGCTGAAGCAGAGGTGAGACTGTGAGGCTACCTGCACCACACTGGGAGACCCTCTCTCAGAAACCAACAAAAACTCCACGAAACAAATAAAACTACTTGAGGGTAGAGGTCAGCGGAGCCTCCTGCTCCCTGCTGGAGATGACGTTCTTTCTCCCTAGATCGGCCAACCACTGCCAGCCCTCTGATTCTGCTGGGAGCTCTAGTGGCAGCCTTGACACTGAGTCTCCTTCTGATGTGTGGAGTCCTCCTTCTAGGTAGGCATATCTAGCAGGCATGGCTGAGGCCGGCTGGCCCTCCTCTACTAAGCTCCTCTACTAGGCTGTGATGAGCTTCTTTGTGGTTCCAGGGCAAGTGTAGCTGACTTCAGGGCCCTTACTCCCACAAAACAATGGTAGATTCCCCTAGACTTGGCGTAGAAGCTGGGGAGTCATGGGGAAAATGTGTATTTGAAAGGACTTTTAGAAAGGTGTTCTGGGTACAGGGAGGCAGAGTGGGCCTAATGGGTGCAGGCAGAGGATATTCCTCTGTTCTTCTCGCCCCTAGTGAACCAGAGGAAGTGGCAGAACCTGTGGGGGACCAGGCTGCCGGGCCCTGAGCTTGACCTGAGCAAGCTTCGCACCTCTGCCATCAGGACAGCTCCCAACCCCTATTACTGTCAGGTGGGGCTCAGCCCTGCCCAGCCCTGGCCTCTGCCCCCAGGGCTAACTGAGGTTTCCCCGGGCAATGTTACTTTTCTCAGGTGAGTCCTCACTCCTGATGCTGTGCTCCCTGAACCCCCTTCCTCCCCCGTCCTTCCTCCTGTCATGGTGCCTATGAATCAGTCCCACTGAGCACACAACGCGAATCCCTAATACAGAGATGGAAACTCCACAAGCTCCGAAAAGCAAAGTAACATGTAAAGGGGTCAGCTTTTGCCCCAGTGCTGCGGTGCAGAGACCTGGGAACATGACTGTCTGGAACCCACAGGTTGCCTTTTTCCAGGAGGGTCTGCATTAGCACAGGGAGGGGTCCTTATCCCATTAGCACCCTGACTCGGGCCCCACCTGCCCTCTCTTCTGCCCCAGCTCTGTGCGGCAGCATTATCTTTGCTAGCTTGTGCCTGAGAACATCTATGACCCAGAGAGAGCTCAGAAAAGGTCATCTGGACATATGGGGTGGGAACCAAAGAGATAAAGGGGCCCTATTCCTTCTACAGACCACCCACTCCCTACCAACTTGTTTTCTTGTAGAGCCCTTGGCCATGGTGCCTTTGGGGAGGTGTATGAGGGACTAGTCTTTGGCCTTCCTGGGGACTCCAGCCCTCTGCAGGTGGCTATCAAGGTGAGAAGGGGTAGGGTCTCTGGTTGGAGTGGACACCATGGAGGGATGGACTGGCGCGACAGCCTTTGCTTATCACCCTCCTAAAGCACTCAGCCAAAGCGCAGGGATGTTCTACTTTCCCTTCCCAGACACTGCCAGAGCTCTGCTCCCGCCAGGATGAGCTGGACTTTCTCATGGAGGCTCTCATCATCAGGTGCCCCTGAGGGCAGGCAGGAGGGTGTGGTGGGAGGCAGGACCTGCCTACAGGGATAGCCTCTCCTCTCTTTAGTGCTGAGAGGTAGCATTCTAGGGCATGGAGGTCTTCTGTAGTTTAATGGGGTCTAGAGCATGCTCGTCTCCCCACTGATGATGGGGTATGTGCACCGTTCCCACCCAGCAAGTTCAGCCATCAGAACATCGTTCGCTGTGTGGGGCTCAGCTTCCAGGCTGCCCCTCGCCTCATTCTGCTGGAGCTGATGTCTGGCGGGGATATGAAGAGTTTTCTGAGACACAGCAGAGCGCACCCGGTGAGACCCTTCTCGGCGCTCCCCAGACCCTGCCAAGACCCTGACCATTTGTCCTAAGGCCAGGATCAATTTAGGTACCTTCTTCCCAATCCAGAGCCAGCCATCACCTCTGGCCATGCAGGATCTGTTGCAGCTGGCCCAGGATATAGCCCAGGGCTGCCACTACCTGGAAGAAAACCACTTCATCCACAGGTTGGAAGCAATCCTGACTCAGGAGACCCTCCGCCCCAACTTGTCCCCTCAAAGAAGATCCCCATAGACAACTTTTAAAGAAACAGATCAGGAAGAGCCAGAGCAGCTAAGTTCTCACAGTGATTATGTTGTCTGTTCTACAGAGACATTGCCGCCCGGAACTGTCTACTGAGCTGCACTGGACCCGGCAGAGTGGCTAAGATCGGAGACTTTGGGATGGCAAGAGATATCTACCGGTGAGCAGGAGTTGGGGAGGTGGGAACGCTACTGTGCCAAGGAGACTCACTGGACAGCATCTGAAAAATCTCATCACATTCTCTCTCCTTCCTACAGGGCCAGTTATTACCGCAAGGGGGGCCGGGCCTTGCTCCCTGTCAAATGGATGCCCCCAGAAGCTCTCCTGGAGGGCATTTTCACATCCAAGACAGACTCCTGGTGACAGCGTGGCTCCCTTGTGTTCCCCTCCTCTGCCCTTAAGGTGATCCCACCTTAAGACAAGGCTATAGTTGATGGGTTTGTTCCTCCCACCCGTGGTACAGGTCTTTTGGGGTCCTGCTCTGGGAGATCTTCTCATTGGGTTATATGCCCTACCCCGGGCACACCAACCAGGAGGTCCTAGACTTCATTGTCACAGGGAACCGGATGGACCCTCCTAGGAACTGCCCTGGGCCAGTGTGAGTGAACAATGTTACCCGGGGAGGGAGGTCCCTCAAGGTTTTAGGAGGCATGAACTCCTGTCTCTCCCTAGGTACAGAATCATGACCCAGTGTTGGCAGCACCAACCTGAGCTCCGCCCTGACTTTGCCAGCATCTTGGAGCGCCTTCAATACTGCACTCAGGTGTGCCTCCGCCCCTCCGCCACTCTCACATAGCCTTTGAATCCCCTCTAACTATCCTGGTTCTGTAGGACCGGAACAAAGCCTGTTCTCCCACTCTCCCATTATAGGACCCTGATGTGCTGAATTCACCCGTGCCGGTGGAACCAGGGCCCATTCTAGAGGAAGAAGGGGCCTCTGGCCTGGGAAACAGGTCGCTGGAGGGTCTTAGATCCCCACAGGCCCTGCAGCTGAGTTCAGAGAACTTGAAAAGCTGGGGAGGAGGCCTCCTTGGCTCATGGCTGCCCTCTGGCCTCAAGGTCCTCAAATCCAGATGCCTCCGACCTCAGAACCTTTGGAACCCCACCTATGGCTCTTGGACCCCAAGGAGCCCTAAGGGTGAAGATTTAGGTGTTAACTTCAGCAATGGCTCCTCCTTGCATTCCTTTCCAGGCATCTAGATGACTTGTTAGTCCAGTAGCCTCTGCCCCTTGCAGTTTGCCCTGCATGTTCAGACATGTTTCCAGGCTGTCCTGGGGGTCTGACCTTTCCACACTGGAAATCAGTCCAAAGGCTCTTAGGGAAGGGCCTGGCCACTCTCAGTCTTTGGAACCTGAGGCCACCCACCAGCCCACTGCAGAACTCAGTTGAGAATCCCAGACTGTGCTCTCCCCATACATATCTTTCATCTGGCCCGTCCCCAGATGAAAATGTTTCTAATACTAATTAAAAAACAAAACAACAACAAACCCCTTCTCATTCTTCAGTTCTGAGTGGACTTGAGTCTGGAACTAAGGAAGAGAGGACCAGAGCTGACGGGGCTGAAGCCTCAGTCACAGAAGCTGTGTCTTTATTAGCAAGGGTGCCCACTGTAGCATAGGAGGGTAGACCAGTCAGCCTGTACACCTGTGAAATAAAATTCTGGATCTGGCCCCTCTAGGGAGGTGCAACCACTTGAGAAGAGCTGGACTGAGGGTGAAGCCCATTGTTTCCTTCCCCTCCTGTAAGCCAGTGTCACTCGGCTCTGGGACACAGGCTTGTGTGGAGGCCAACTCCTGGTATTGGTAGTATACCCCCTTAGTGGATGGCACCTGGTCCTGCAGGACCATGTGAACTGCCCGCCCAGCGGGGTTCCAGTCTGTTGCCGGCATGCATGGTGGGGATTCAGCCACCGGTCCACATCTGTCTGACCAGCCGGCCCAAGTGGGGGGTGGGGACATGGGCCCAGCCTCATCTCTCAGCCATGCTGGCCAAGATACCAATGAGATTGTCCAGCCCCAGCAAATAGCCGTCCTCACGGTTGCCCTCCTCCCAGGGTCTCCGATGATCCAGGATCTGGCCATCCGGGAGGGGCGTGGTCTTGCCAAAATCGATGAGCCATACACCAGCACGATGACAGTGGTCATGCACGAAGAGGAGTGAGCTGCCAATCACCTGCCGGCCCCCATGGCAGTCAGGCCACCTGCTTCTCCCAGAGAGCCCCCCCCCTTCCGTTCTCTCTTTCACAAAGCACAAAGCCAGCCCCCGGCCCACCCACCTCTTACCTCATGCCTTCGAAAGAAATCTGAGATCTCCAGCGTGTCCCGGATCTGTTGTAGGCGGTTCAGATACCTCCTCTGGAAGGGTTAGTGTGGACAAATTAATCTCGCACCAAGGGAGGCTCTACTGACATTGAGATGCATTTCAGCTTGACAAACGCTGTGGGGAGGGAGAGACAACCCACCACGTGCTCACGTAGGAGCAGAGGTGAAACAATTACGGTACAGCGAGGGAAGTGCGACCCCTGGGGGTAGCATAGGGAAGGACGTTAGAAAAAAGGACCAAGAGGCACTCTTGGAAACAGGTGTGCCCAAACTTCAGAGTTCTGGGAACCTCCTCTCACCAGCACTTCGGCATCTCCTTGCATGAACTCCTCAAAGACACGAGTCACCTGCTCTCGGCTTCGTGTAGTTTTGAAATCAGTGCTGCAAGATCCGTCGGCTTTCTGAAGGAGGTGGGCAAGGAGTATCAGGGACCTGGACCCATCTGAGAGGAGAGAGGATCATGCAAAGGGCAGTGGTACCTCCCTGGGGCTTTAACCTCTGGGGAACAAGAGATGGCGACCAGAGGGCGTCTCCTGGTGGCAGTTGAGGGCAGAAAGGGCATATAAGCACTGAAGTTGGGGCAGAAGAAAAGCCTTGCAAAGCAAGGGAAGCTTAACCCACCTTGATGCCCTCGATGCGGAAGCCGAGTGTGGTGCTGGAACTGATGCCTTCGCGCCATTGCATGTAGCGCGGTTTGGTGACAGCGCGCTGCGCATGCTCTTCCTCAGTAGGTGCCTCAGGGTCCACCGCTAGCATCTTCTTATACATGTCCTTCCGCAGCTTGGGCTTTTCGCGTGCTTTGGTCAGCTCCTCCTCCAGGTAAGTTCTGTGAGGTGCAGGTCGGGGCCAGAGCATGAAGGACCCCCATGAGAGCTTTTAGCCCAGTTCCTTGGTTCCCTCACTGATACTGCCTGACCAAGAGAGGGGACACAAACCTGACACCCATCTTGCAGTCAAGCACGCAAGGGCCATCAAAGCCATCCAGCAGGTCCTGTAACTGCAAGTAGCTTTCACCATCCCGCTCCACTACACCATGGAAGGCGGGAACACAGCCGCGCAGCACATCGGCCATCAGCCGCACCAGGCAGTAGTGTTCTGGCTCCGAACTGCGCTTCAATATCAGGCCGCTGGTGCCCGCCGCTTTGAAACTCCCTGTAGAAGGGCTCCAGTTAGAAATGCCCAGCTCCTTCCTGTCGCAACCACCTCACCCACCCGCACTGATGCTCACCTGTGTGCCCCGCTAACTGCACCCAAGAGTAGCGCTTTTTGAAAGGGCTCATGACGGGCAGGTTGACCATGGTACGGATCTTCTGCCAGTGGCTTTTCTGAAAGCAACAAGCCCAGGTAGGTCAGCATCTCTCTACCGTGTAAGCCCTCCCCCTCTAGTGCAGGAGTCCAACCTGACTCCACCCCACCAGACGGATCCAAGCCTTCGCTACTCACTCAGTCACCTACCCAAAGAAAATGTGTTGTGAGCCGGTGTGGCAGGTGCTGAGACCGGCAGGGGAAAGGTCATTCTAGCTTCTCAAAAAGTCTGAAAGGAGCCCGAGATTTAGCAGCAGAAGACTTAGGGCTGAACATAGCTCTGCCATTGAGTGGGCAGGTTACTTAATTCTTCTGTAAGGTTTCTGAACTTTGTGGCTATCAGAACCACTTGAAGGCCACCCTTGATGCTGAGTCTGAGGTCTCCCATAGGGACATCCAGAGTCAGCCAGGGTTGGAACTAAAAATCTGCATTTCTACCAAGACCTCAGGAGGCCTGAGAAAAATGCTTCTGTGTATTGGGTTTTTCCCATCTGTGTAATGGGGAAGCAATTACTCTTTCTGAACTGTTGTAACCAGTGAGGCTTGAGTTTGACCCTCCTTATCCAATTCCTTGGCATGGAGAGAGTTGGGCCAAATTTAGATACTGAATTTACTCACTTGGGACCTAATTCTCTCATTTAGGGAGGCAGACCAATCACAATCAACCCTTTACACAGGACCAGGGAAGAGAGGACAGCCTGCCAAGGCTTATGAAAGAATGCCTCAAGGCTCCCTAAGACCACCTAGCTGCCCCAGAATCCCATGCACTTCTTACTAGCTGAGAAAGTCAAAAGCCCAAGGCATCCTTGGTTGTGATCTGGATGGAAAAACCTAAGGCCTGAAGGTGAAATGCAAAGCTGAAGGCCTCTCCTCTTAGATAAAACTGCAGGTGTGTGTAGGTATTTGCGGGTGTGCCATCTCTGGCCTCAAGGCCATTACTCTGGCTACCGCTCAATCCCGAAAGCACCACACACCCCGGCCCTTTCCACCTTCTATCCCAAACTCAGCAGTCCTGCACCTGCTCTTTGATGGGCAGGGATTTGCTCTTGTATGTGTCTTGTCTGAAGCCTTGTCCCACAGATGCTTGTCTTTTACAGGAATCACTAGAACCCAGGAACCAGCCTCCTTGCCAAAAGGGGGTAAGAAACAAGGAGGTGGTTTACTGATGAAAAACCCTTGCCTATGAGGAAGAGGTGGGATTGGTGGCGGAGCACTGGGTTGGGAGTGAGCAGCCGCTTCCAGCCCTGGCTCACTCTCTAGCTCAGCGTGTTCAAGCAGTGCTGCCTGCCATCCGTGTGGGTCTGTTTCCTCCGGGAGGATGTAGCGGCTGCCCTAACACGAGCCATTTACTGACTGCCTACTGCACACCAGGCACCTTCTCATCCTCCCACAGCCTTCACTGCTCTCCCTTTCCCAACATGGCACGCTAGGGCGTGATCACATGTACAATCCCCAGGGATCTGGGGGTGTAGCCAGAAGCAGCCCACTAGAAACATGACATCTTTCAAAACTTCTTTTATAAATCTTTAAATACATACAAGGTTTGCATTTTGCTGCATAATAGATCCAAGTTTTATTATAAAACTCCCTTCCTCCCAAATCCTCAAGTAAAATTCCAGGAAGGTGATGTATGTAGCAATGTGTATTTAGCAGCAGCATCCTAAAACTCTTCTTTCACATCCAACTTGAGAATCATGATCACGATGCCCATACACAGCATGAATCTGAGCTGCTATTAGTCCCACCCACGGAAATCAATACTCAGAGAAGTTAGCGTCCTCATGACCTGCTTCCAGATTCCTAGGCTCTGCTTACACTCTCTCTCAATCCAGCTTCCTCACCATGATCCAATCATTCTAGCAGTTTCCTTTTGGGGATCAAATGGGATACATGTGACAGGACACTCTCACGCGATGAAACAGTTGCAGGGTGTTGCAAAGGTTTGGATGGATCTGAGGGCCTTCAGCTACTGCCTTCATCCAAAGGATTAGTTTAAGGATGGCAAAAGGCTCGGGTGGTTTGAGAAGCCTAACAAAACTTTGGGGGAAGCTGGAGGTGGTGGTGCATGTCTTTAATTCCGAGGCAGAGGAAGGTGGATCTTTGAGTTCAAGGCTAGCTTGGTCTACAGAGTGAGATCTAGGACCAGCCAGGCTGTGTGGGGAAACTGCACCACCCTTCCTTTGGGGTCCTGTGGTTTCAGTGAAGGGGTTTGCAGGTGGAGAGGAGCCTGGTAGAAGTGAGTAGATTGGACATGGTGGCATATGTCTGTGGTTCTAGCTACCTGGGAGGCTGAAAAGGGAAGATGGTGTGAACCTAGAAGTTTGAGGCCAGTCTGAGAAACATTTAAGATGGATCTTTAAAAAAATGTATATACTACCATTTGGCTGATCGGTTAATGTATGGTAAGAGTATCAGCTTGTCTCTTCCCTGCCTTGGTTTTGTGGGTCTCACATAAGCAAACAGCAGCGGATCCTAACTGTGCAGGTAACAAAGGGCTCCCAGGTCCATTATCTCAGCTCAGTCTCCCAGCCGCCACCGGAGGTTTCCTATGACAAGGTGTAGCTCCCTTGCCCGTAACAGATATGGTGAAACATGGAACCAGTTGAGGTAAGTGCCGTGGAAACCAACTCACTGCCATCTTTCCTCTTAAGAGTGATTCCTTCTGCAGGGAACATAATACACTCACAAACGAATGTATCCAGAGAGCCTGCTAGAGAATCGTCCTCGGGTTGGTGGGTGAGTGAGGAATTTGGCTCATAAACAACAGCAGGGAAGGTATATCCCAGCCCTCCCTCCATGCAGAGGCTGCTTCTACCAACCAACACACAGCCACAGCCTTAGGCCACCTGGACATTTGGTACAAAGGCCA